ATTATTAAAGATTCATGCAGGACTCATTTATTTAAAACAAGCCTTTCAGATAATGAAAAACAAGATATGTGCATATATTAATCTTTCATCAAAATCATCTCTCCTCACCGACGAAAGTTCCGTTAAAGCTCTTAAAACCCTTTTGAAGAATATCGAATACAAACAGATAGACATGTGAAATCAAAAATATTTAATGTATATATGTATACGGACCTTATATATAACCCAATTTACAAAACAGTAAGATACGTCGATTTTATTTGTAATTAGTATATATATAGATTAAATTAGGTGTAAATTTTGATATGATAGGCAGAAATATAAAAAAAAAACAATCTTTATTCCAACAAATGACAAGCATAGCGTAAAATGACAAAAATATAAATAATACCTATACATCTGCAAAAATATTTTTATTTCAGACGCACAATTATTTATTTATGAAATTTGCAGCCCGACCTTGCAAACTGAAGGTCCCAATAACTAAGTAATAATGACGTAATAAATATGTAACTATGTACATGTAATTTTATGTCACAATAAAATTAATGATTAGAAATAATTAACATCTATGTATTTACAGAACAAATGTGTAACTTATAAATGAACAATAATATATTTATCATTTGCCAATTATTACTTCACTAGCCCGTACAAACAGACAAACAGACAGAGAAGCAAAAAACTGAAAAAAATCTGGATTTGTTCTATTTCTCTTCTTACTTCCATCCCCCTGACTCGGTTTTTAGCTTTTTTTTTCTATGAAGAGACATTCGACCTCTACAGTTTTATTATATGTATTGATGAGATACATATATTATAATAATACATTTTAATAAGTTCGTCTTAAAATTAAATAACACTGTGTGTCTTTTAAATGGTCTTTTTTTACTAGCACTGGACATTTTTAGGACAAAATGAAAATGTAAATACATATCTTCTTAAAATGCAGAGCAATTTTTAGATATACACTATCGTCAACATGTTATTTTATAAGATATATCTTACGAAACTATACAAAATAAATAAAATAAAATTGTACCAACAAAACTACAGAACGACGTCATATAGTTAATTTAGACATAGTAAACCGCAACTAACGCTTTTCCCTGCTATCTGGTTACTTATCCGTGTTACTTACTCTTTCTACAGTGGAATGATTCATATGATAGGAACACTGATCAATAAATAAATGACTTGAAGTATAATAAACTAGCATTTGATGGCCAAAAACCAAATTTTTAGGTTTTTCATATTACTCGTAGTATACTCTTACATTGCATTTTTGTATTTTTTCTCAGAAATGAGATCTATTCTCGCGGTAAAAAGTATCCTATATATTGACCCGGATAACCAGCTATCACCATACTAAATTTCATCAAAATCCCTTCAGTGGTTTTTCTGTGATGCGGTAACAGACAGACAGACAGACAGGCAGACAGACAGACAAAATTTCTAATAAAGATTCGGCCTCTGTATCGATAATAATGTCTATTTCAATAAGATTTTCCAAAAAATATTTAATGTACAGATTCGGCTTAGTTACAATTTTATAATATGTATAGATTACTCAAAAGAGGATGTATTATATTATATCAATAAATTTTCTTAAAATAACACTCTAATAAGAAATCGTAAAGGTGCAGTTTCATAAGAAAATGAACAAAAGTACAAACCGCTGTAAATGTTAAGTGATTAAGTGGCTATTTAAAATTTATAATACAAGTTGGAAGTAATTTCACTTTAAAATGTTATTAACATTACTTAATCGTAAGACTTGTCGGTGTTCAATGTACTTATGACTTACAAGTACAATATATACTTCGTTGGAAGAATACTATATTACTTGAATTACCTATCTAACTAGGCAATTTAAATATGAAATAGTTATGTTCATAATAAAAATCTATATCTAAATCGTGACATACATAATAAGAGCTTATACGTACATTTCTGTCTTTTTATCTGCTCACATCTGTAGATCTGCGTTTTGATGGCTTGATATACAAATGAACTGATTTACATACAAATTTTACAAAATTTTTCATTACATAAAGAAGGATTTGTAATTTTTTATCACACGCCCTTTACGTCTACACATTTACATTAAATATTTTATGTTTATTTTCAAAGAAAGTCGTAAGTTTTCTCAAGCAAAATAAAATAAAAATAATAAAAAATACTTCGATCAATTCGATATATATTATAGTACTATTACATATGTTCACTATTATTTCATACACGTCATTAAATATCGCATCAGTATTCATAGGACGATAGCATTTTCACTATCGTTCAATGTCCCATTGTGTGCCAAACTTTCTATAAATATGCTTTACCGTAATAAATTTTAGTTTCATTATTAATCAGTAAAAGTAAAACGTTGTCTAAAAAATTGTATATTTTTATATCACAGAATATTCTTATCACTTCTTTCTCACTAGCACTAAAATTTTAATTGTCTTTATCATTTTAATATCCATATACTTAATTATCAAAAAAAAAGCAATGAAATAAAAAAAACAATCGGGACAGTAATAAAACCTTTTTATATATTTGATTTAATCATGTAATCTCAAAAAAAAGTAAAAGATTTATGACCGTAATACGCAAACTTGATATAGTTATAGTTTTTTTACGACATTATAGTTATTTACAACTATGTTATAGTAATTATTATTAATTTGAATTTCAAGATACCATAAAAGGATCTATATCTGTTAGAGCAACATATATTACAATAAATTGCCATGTTAATTTTTCTAGCCGTTGCACGGTCATGCCACGACCATCATACTCACCTACATTTTCAATGTCACAAATATTTTCATGTCATGACGATACAGCAGTAGGTACATATTCGTGCTTACGTGCGATCATAACGTATAGCGAACGCAACAAACGCCTACTCGTAACCTTGTCGGAACTAGAGCAAAAGCACTGAGCTTGCAAGCTTAAGTAATTTTTATCAGATGTAAATTCAACAGTCTATCTATACATATAATAAAATGTTAACCAAGCTGAATCTGTACATTAAATATTTTTTGGAAAATCTCATTGAAATAGACATTATTATCAATACAAAATCTATAGGTTTTAGAATTTTTGTCTGTCTGTCTGTCTATTACCGCATCACGGAAAAGCCACTGGAGGGATTTTGATGAAATTTGGTATGGTGATAGCTGGTTATCCGGGTCAACATATAGGATACTTTTTACTGCGGAAAAATATCTCATTTCTGAGAAAAAATACAAAAACTGCAATGTAAGAGAATACTAATATGTAAAACCTAAGAATTTGGTTTTTGGTCATCTGAACGCGGGCGGAGCCGCGGGCAATGCTAGTGTACATATGTGTTAAAACAAAACATTATAGCTCAATTATTGCAACAACGTATTGCATAGTGTATTGTATCATTTGAAATAATAAATTTATGAGGCTAGCAAAGTGGAAATTTTACATTTTATTAGTACACTGAGAAATCTCATCAAACAGATAGATAAAAATACCTAATAATAATAAATATTAGTAGACTGTCTAAATCTATAGTCTCACTTTAGCTCCGAATACTTAGCATTTATTATTATACATATATCATTCATCAGGGCTTGTTTTGAAAAAATCGAATTAATAATTATTAATCAAAAATATACTCTTCATACAAATTTCTTTATCAATTATAAGATAGTTCTAACTTGATTGATTAGTGATTTTTATTAAATATTAATATATTTTTGACGAGTTCCTGTCGAGAAATCAACTAAAACTAATTGTGTTGAAGGTAATAAATAATCTTTACATGACCGTGACTCTTGAGATGAAGGCAACAATAATAGCACATGATCAACAATTTCATTATAGAGACAATGTGACTAATAATATATATTCTAGCACAACACTCTTAAGGTAGCATAAGTCTAACGAAAGACAAACGCGGACATTGAGTCCCCTCACCCAGACAGCACCCTCAAATATAACTTTTTATTTCATGACAAAATACTATTTTAATGCCTGTTAATCTAATCATTAAATTGTATCGGTCATTTATTAAGCAATTGTGTAATTAAATAAATCAAAAAAAAATTTACAGAAAGTATTTTTTTTAAGGAATAAAAATATATTTAATTGAACATTATTTGGTAAATGTATCGGATTCTTATTAATTTCATTCAAACGCAAGCAATCTTTTGATCGTGATTGTATTTGAACTTTCATAAATATTATACATTTATATATACATATAATAAAATTGTAACTAAGCCGAATCTGTACATTAAATATTTTTTGGAAAATCTTATTGAAATAAACATATATGATCGATTTCTGAGAAAAAATACAAAAACTGCAACGTCAGAGTATACTAATATGTAAAACCTAGGAATTTGTTTTTTGGTCATATGAACGCGGGCGGAGCCGCGGGCAATGCTAGTATATAATATAAATAAGCATAAATACGTTAGTGAGTTCCATTGTTCATTACTAGAGTCACCGCCAAGCCTTAAACAAGTCAAGATGCAGGTATTTTTCAAAGCTGCCGCCGTTGACTCAATTTGATACACTTCTATCTTTTAAGCGGTTGCGTCACCAAACTTCCGATTTCATTATTAGATCATCAACATATTTATATAGGATTATTCATACATCAAAAAATATATAAATACGTTAAAGAATTCAAGTCACCGCCTACAAATGATTAGGCCCTAAAGTGATAGATTTATTGTGAAAGAACAACTACCAATACAAAATGTTTTATTAACAGATAAACCACTTCTATTATGAAGTTTGATTGTCATCTTAGAATCTTATTTATCAGATCTTCACCGATAGTAATACATACGAAAAAATCGGCTAAATATATAACCCTCCTTTTTTAAAATCGGTACATTTTTTTAAATTATATTTGAATTATGATCATTATATTTGAATGCTGAAAGATTAAAAATTTAGTATACATGTGCATACACTACAACAAATTATAATATAATATTTCATCCTTTCAGATCTTTCGCTATCCAGTGTCCATAGTTGTGATGAACAATGTATAAACAGGAGCTGCTTCTGCTGGTATGTATTTTTGCTAAATGTATATAATTGTCACCTTCTGTTTCACTCTACCATAGATCTGGCCTTTTATAGAGCTTTGCTAATTAGGTTTTGATATTAATTAGAGGAAAATATGCAATAATGCCGCTTAAAGCGCTTGTTTCCTTAATATAATAATATATTAAGGAAACAAGCGGTTTAAGCGGCTAAATCTAATCACAAAGTCATTCTACTGTACATCCATTTGCTGAAGGTTTATCGTCTCTTATTCATTTTCGAAATGATATTTACGATTAACTTTTAATAACTTCGCAATGAAGCGATTCACATTAAAACTTTTATTGTTCGTCGATTTCTTATTTTTTCTATTACAATTTATTTTGCACACATCATGTAATGGTAATGTTGGAGACATGAATTTCACTTTTTTATGTTTAGTCATCTACCAATGCGTTTTATTAGACGTGTACGCGGTAAGCTGATTGAATTATATAACTAACATATTTAATTTTTTTGACTGCCTCGTTGGTGTAGTGGCTAGCATGTACGGCTGCACACTCGGAGGTCCTGGGTTCGAGTCCCGGGTCGGGCCAAGTTTAGTTATTGAGTCTTTCTGTTTAGTAAGTCTCAGTAACAGCCCGGAGTTGGGAAGTTTTCGGTGTTTCACCCCCGTACCTCGGAGAGCACGTAAAGCCGTCGGTCCTGCGCCGACACTCTCACTGGTCGTGTCGAGTGGTCGTCCCACCGGAGTATGAGAGTGACAGGAATAGAGAGTGCACGTTGTGTCTGCGCGTACACTTGTGCACTATAATATCTCCTGCGCAGTTGGCTAGTCTCAATGAGATTGGCTGCCGTGGCCGGAATCGGCTAGGAGAACATCTTCATATTTTATTATTGATAAAAAAATTATTTCCTAAAAACACATTTATATACGATTATATTTTCAACAATATTTGACTAGATTAATTTTCTACAACTTTGTTTACTTACAGCACCTAAGTAATAAACAAAGTTTCAGAACATATATCTCTAAAACAAAAGTTATAGAGATATTTTCGATTCAGAAATAATTTTATATGATGAAGTGTTAAAGTTAACAAATTAAGAACAGATGAATATACTATATTATTGTTTAAATTAATTAATAACAAAGAGCTAGCTATAACGAACTAGAGGTTTAACCAAAAACTCTAATAATAATAAGCCAAAAAGTCTAAAAGATGATAGGTTGTTTTGGTGACTGTGACTGTTATGTGGGTTGTATAACGAGTTGCAATCATGGTGTTTGAGAATTTTTCTAAATGACTACGCCTACTAAGAAACATTTAATTTTTTTTTGGAACAATATTAAATCTCAAATAGAAACGCTTTAATCGATACATAAAACTATTAATTCTAAAATATTCATCATCGATAATTTTATATTTTCAGCGTTACAACAAGGATGTTGTATGTGTACTTGATGAGGTAATTAATGAACATGCAATTTTTGTTAATGAATTAGTGAGTTCGCTTCGCTCGGCTGCATCCCTGGGAAAGAATCTTTTAGGAACTCATGAAGGATAAACATTTTTTTTTGGTCCTAGAACTTTAATGGATGTACTCAGCCACCACCAATTACTCGCCAAAGTTTCATCACAATCGGATGAGTGGTTTAGGAAGGCATAGAGCACAGACATACAAACATTGATTTTTATTTATATATAGATAGAAGATAGATAGAAAGATTAGAAAATTTTTATTTGCCATTTTAATAAATTTTCATCTCATATCTCTAAAACAAGGAGACAAAGATACGAGTATGTTTGAAATTAGCTAACTATCTATCGATATTTTATTCTGAATCTATTTTTCACCGTGAATAAATCTGTCATTTTAAATCTCGTTTTGGTGGATCAAACTATTTTTCTTTCGTTTCGCTTTTTTAAAATATGCACAGAACAAGTGCTAAACGTAACAAATTCTTATGCAAATTATTTACATAACTATATTTGTTTTCTTTTTTAATAAAAACACATTATGAATAAAATTTAAATATAAAATAAATATCACTGGGCTTAAATTATCAAAATATCATTCGTCATAGTGTGGTATGAAATGTGGCATATTGAATAAGTCTTGAGTACAGTTTGATTTTTTATACGTACCTACTTTTTTAATCATATTTGAATTTCGATAACAAACATCTATAATTTTACAGGATAATTTTCCAATATGCAAAACAATAGCTAATGCTGGAACGGGTCGGCGAAAGAATATCAATAATAATATACCAATTTACGAGCCTTACTTACCAAATATTAAAAATATTATATTTTTTAACTGTTCAACGTATGAATGTAAATATATAAAAGTACACTCTATAACACAAATAGCTGCACCAAATTCGTCCCTCTACTATTGCTATCTAGAAACTCCAGAAAATTATAAATGTGATTCCCTAAAGTATTATAATTACAAAAACGTAGACAAACTATTATTCCTATCAAATAACTTGCCCAATAAATTGTTTTATTTGATCGATTGCTTAGCGTATTCCGACGGTGGGCGAGTATGCCATAAGAAGGACGAAGTTGATTCACACACTAAATTGGTAGATATTGGGAACATAGCGAGGCCAAACGAGTCTAATATTTTGTCCCAAGAGGAATTCATATGTGAACAGAGTGATGCAAAAGTAATTAATTGTGATCATGATAGATATGTGCCTTACCCCGATGGCTTAAAATTAAAGAAATCTATGGATATTGATAAAAAGATACTTTTGAAAACAGGTGGCAACTTGGTAACATTGAGTTATAAGTGCGTTGACTCTTGGTGTGGATACAGCGGAGATATAGCACCTACGCGTAGAGTCGAAAGATACGAACCGCCTGGCGGCAAAGTTTATCGATGTTATTATGCCAAAAAACAGCAAATCTGTAAAGAATTATATGGGAGAGCCATAAACGTTTATAACGCGCGTGATTGGTTAAGTTCATAATAATTTTTATTAAGTTTCCTTTAGCATTTTTATTTTTAACCTTTTATCAATATACGCTATATGTATATATATATATGTATATATATATATATATATATATATATATATATACATATAGCGTATATTGCGTATATAGCGTATATATATATATATACATATATATATACATACATGTTCGAGCAACTTGTAATTGTTTTGATAATAAGTAGGTCATGAGCCCACATTCTAAAACTCAAGCTTATAATCTGTCTCTATGGATGTAAAAAACGAAGTACAAATGTATCTACTATAAATGTATATACTCTTTCGCATTTATAATTTTATCAATAAGAAGCATTCATCTGTTATCTATACTTATAATAAAATAGTAACAAAGCGAAATCTGTATATTAAATAATTTTAAAAACAATGACTGTTACGTATTATAAATAAAACTATATTTTCGGATTTTTTCGAAAATTTATTTTGATTTTTGGTTCCCAACGTTTCGAATGTTTTACAGCAATCATGATCAAGGGACTCGGGAGAGATTGACCTCTCAAAAATCCGAAAATATAGTTTTATTTAAAACGTCAAATATTCGCGTAAATCTAAGCAAGTATTATTTTTTGACTTTTACGTATTTTGTACATAATATAGAACCCAAAACTCGTACTACTAAGAGTTATTGATGTTTTTATCTATATATACATACATTGCTAACACTGGCTTATCCTTAAGAGACATATCAAAACAATATACTAGAAAACTGTAGATCTTAAAAAGGTCTACAGACAAGTCCGCAATAGCATGTGTCTATCTCACAATAATCACAACAACTATTTTTATACATACATAATATATTTAAAACGTACCTATGAACACATGAGCGAAGCAAGGGTAAGATGCTAGTAAAATATAATTTTCATTTCCATGTAAACAATCGATATAAATAGCTTGTTATAATATATATATTTATAGATCGATATAAATGTTTGATGTATGGTGGACGGCGCCATACGCCGGCAATTTTATTCATTAACATGAATATTAATACATGGCATGCTTTGAATCACTTACAAATATGTAAGCGGATAACTTATATGATCCACAGCTTGATTATGCATAAGATACGAGTATGTTGCATAACTAATACGTAATACGTATAGTGATTACACTCCCTAATAACTAATTAGGTCACACAGATACGAACGTCTTAAGTTAATTAATAAAATCTTATTTATATTTAAATTTAAAATAACTATTAGATCTTGATAAATTTAATTAATTTTAAATGTAAAAAAAATAATAAAATTTTGTGTTCAAGATAATTTAAATTTTAGCAAATTCATAAAAAAAATTACTTACATCGTAAAAATCAGAATGTAAGCCAACTAATCTAATTTTTTTAATTAAAAAATAAGCAGCACTTTGCTAGATAGACCTTTATTTAAAAAAAAACAAACATGTCAGTAGGCTACGTCCGGCTACAGTAAACATACGACTTTATACAATTTACGTCACGAATTCTCGAATCAACGAGTACCGGTCCCAGTTACACTTTACTTTCATGCAATCACCCTGTCAGTGAAAGTGGACGAAGTTCCAACGCTACCAACATACAAGACCAACATATTTTTTAACGTCGCAACCTTACGTCAATTACGTCAACATTAGACGATTTATATTTATGCTAATAAAATTTGATACATTGCGAATACTTTGATAATATCCTCATAAGGTCTGTTTTCTTAACATAAATTACTTTATTCCGCTATAAACCTTGAGCTAGTCGCAATATTAAAAACTGCTTTTATATATAAAAATAGTATCGTAATGCAAGATATTTTAACTAAACTGACGACTACAATATGGCTAAGAAATAAATGTTCACAATTCGCAGATTATATACTTATTATATATCTCAATTAGCTGGGTTGCCTAAGTTCCCAGACAATATTACAAACAATGGCGCTTGATATACATATAGTCACAAAATAGATGTATGCTATACATTGAATAGCACATACTAAGGCACAATAGCGAGCTTCATTACTAACAATCGATTAATAACACAACAACCTTCATTTCCAGCTATACTTGTTACCGTATCAGTGAACAGATTTTAAACAATAGCGTGACAGGAACCTTGCACCGAATGCTCTCAACGTTCGGAAGTAGCAATGTGTTTGGCACACAATGCGCATTCTTGCTGAGATTGTTAACATAACGAATGAAATAATGGTACCCGATGATATCTGGCGCTATAACTCTAAATAACCGACGACAATTATATTATTTTCTGAGATTTATTTCAAACTAGCGACTCGCCTTCGCCTTCGGGTTCGTCCCTACTCCCTAGACATAAACAATCTATACTACGGGAACCGTACATTTTTCTGGAATAAAATATAACCTACATGCTATTCCAGAATATAATCTATCTGTATGCCAAATTTCATCCAGATCCGTTCAGCCGTTCTGGCGTGAAAGAGTAACAAACATCCATCCATCCTCAGAAACTTTCACATTTATAATATCAGTATGAAGTCCTGTAGATACTTATTCTTTATAGTTGTATTTTCTATTTTTATTTAGACGATTTGAATAGCGTTGTAATTAAATGAAAAATTGCTCTGTACCAACTTTTAAAGCACTATATTAATATAATCAAAGATTATTCTCATAACTTAATATATATATATATATATATATATATATATATATATATATGTAAAAAAAAATATAGATGTATTTTTATTTTAAAAAGAAACATAAAATTTATGTAACTGTAAAGATTATATTATATTTATATATTAACTTATAACGAGTTGGTTTATGGGATAAGAAACAAGTAAGCAGTGGCCAGTTTGCAGGTAAGACAAAGCGAATGTGGAGCAACTTATCGAGCCACTAACCTGCAAATTACGTAATCTCGAAGCATTTCACATAGGGCTGACCTTACCGTTTAAAATTTAACTTACAATAAATGGTAAATCTACTATTATAATATTATAAAGAGGTAAAGTTTGTGAGTTTGTGTCGTTGTAGGGGGTCTCTGGATCTACTGAACCGATTTAGATGAAATTTGGTAAGAAGATAGTTTGAGTCCCTGGGAAGGACATAGGATACTTTTTATCCCATAAATCGTCACTTAAGGGGTTGAAAATGGGGGTGAAAGTTTGTATGGGGAATCAAGCTAAGGACAAACCTGATGAGTGAGGATGAGTCGCTAGTATAATATAATATTACTTAAAATTAATAGATCGTTGCTGAACATTTATTGATAATGGGCATAGAACTTAAATTATTTCAACATCTAGTAAACTAATTTAGAAAAAATATATAAATAATCATTTTGTAATGTTTTAATAGTATTTCGTAATATTTACTAAATTTGAGAAATTAATTTCTTATGCATTTCTCATACAGTTAAACTATTATCACAACGAAAAAAAAATGTACTTAGAGGAAAAAAGTATAAGAGCTTTCCCTATTATTATTTTTTTAATTTTATTTTTGTTCGTATGGCACTCACATACTAATGCGAATTAATTCGTTATATTTTCAAAATCACATGAAAAAAATATAAAAAAACCAAAAAAAAATTTAAAATATACATGTCAAATGATCTAAATACCAAAATCGTATAATTAGTTGTAATTAAAGTAAGCGAGATTAAATCATTTCTCATACAAAATGTTTTCTAAAGCTCATTAAGATATACTTCAATTACATAACATAATTTAGCACGCAATTTACCAAGTTGTTTTATCATTTCATCAGCTTACGTGACAATATTTTTTTAAACACAAACTAATAATGAAGTATTAAATGGTATGTTCGTATTAATCTTAGGAAATCTATACATCTATACACATAATAAAATTGTAACAAAGCTGAATATGTACATTAAATATTTTTTGAAAAATCTTATTGGAATGGACGTTATTATCGATACAGAGGCCGAATCTATAGTTTTTACAATTTTTGTCTATCTGTCTGTCTGTTACCGCATCACGAGGAAACTACTGGACAGATTTTGATGAAATTTAGTATGGTGATAGCTGGTGATCCGGGTCAACATACAGGATACTTTTTACTAGGGGAAATATTTCATCTTTCAGAAATCTATACAAACGTTACGTTACGCCTACTAACGTTAAAACGTAAGCAAGGACGAACCCGAGCGAAGCGAGGGTAAGTCGCTAGTGTAACTATAATTAATAAGCTATTTATATTTTTACCGTCATAATAAAACATTGGATGATTTATTTTAAGAAATAAAAATATTTTAACATTTGTTCCCAATTAAAGAAGTTGTTATAATTTTGTTTAAATAAATCAAACGATGCAAAATTTTCTGTATAATATATAACAAACAAGTTTTATACTTAAAATAGTTCAAATATTACAATGCACAAACTATATATTAAGCAGCATAATGTGACACAGCCCTAAGCGGAACATAGACGTGAGCTATGACTTGACTCAGCCGATAGCCGACCGCTCTCACGCTGCCTCTTAGGATACACCCACTAATATAAGAAACCTGAATCAATGGTATTTATTAGTACGACCTGCTTTCAAAATTAAAGATTTATGTAATATTACCTATTGCTAAGAAATAAAACCCTGCGAGTCCGTAAAGGATATTGCTCAATCTAATTATTTATAGCAATTACGACTCTATATATAATGCAATACAATCTTTTATTAATTTAATCAAAGTTTAACCAAATAAATACTTTACTCTACCGCAATATTTTACTCTATATTAAGTCTGTAATATTACTTTTTATTTTTAAAAAAGCATTCATGTGGACTGCCGACAGAAGTGAAAACTTAAAACTATAAACAAACAATTGTTATTTTTGGATATTCAAATTAGTTGTTTGATCTTAAGTTATAATTTATAAATTAAAACTGTTTACATTTATCTGGTTTTGACATCTATCGACACTCTGAGTGTTAGCGTTAACACGTCACGTGACCATGTCGATGACGACTTACATGAA